CTCTTTCGTGTCAAAGCATATGGAAGAGAAGACAGCATACACACTTGAGAGCAGTTTCTATTAACCTGTCCTCAGAATTGATTTCCATTTGATATTCCTCGAAAAGGACTGACGTTTATTCCGGCTTCCATTGTTTAAGATGATAAGATTGCCTTTGTTTATCGCAGAGTCTGTTTAGTTAAGGTGACTTCTCAGTTTAATTCCTGTTATTTCTAACCAAAAGTGGACTCACGTTTGCCATATTTCTGATGTCCAGTCTTAAATACATGTGTCCAGTGCTCAGAACACAGTTACGTTTTCTTAGAAGCCTAATAGTACAGATACACGATTTGTTTGTTCATTTGGAAAACATTTTAGTTCGGAATGTATGTAAAGTGGTGTCCTACCCAGTAGGGATACGCTAGTGAAACAGGGAAAAACAGTTGTTGGATTTATAGATTTAAATTCAGTATTATATGTGGAAATTAGAAATTAAAGAGGCTACTTTACAAAAGATAATTTTTCCAAGTTTGAATATTTGAAAATTGTAACTTTTTTTCTGAATGTACGAGATATATGTATGTATGAAATGTTCAGGTAGTTTTTTGTAACGATTGTTTGATTGGAAAACTGAGTCAACTCCTGGTTATCTGGGATATAGGAACCCTTATCAAATTTCTAGATTTGCTTCGTACATCTGATGTTAATGTTAATTTGAGCAGAACATGGTTAAGAACATGGTAGAATAGCTACAAATACTAGTCACAAAGGCAAATAAAGTTAATATATCTACAGTATCTGTTATGCTTTTTAAATTAGTTTCATTTGGTAATGCTGACCAGCCTTATACGTAGGCATTTAAAAGTCTCCTTCTATGGAAAAGAAATTCAGACTGGAAATAAATAAGTGATAAACACAAGATTGTTCAGCAGATACTTGGTAGAGCAGAATTTTAGGGTGATGGGATTTTAGCTGTGTTCTTTTTTTCTGCTAAATCCCAAATAAATGGTGTTAACTCTCATAGCACTGTCATAAATGATTGGCTTTAACTATGAAAAAGACAGTAAAATTGTTCACTAAAGAAATGTCTTAAATGGTTATCTTACTTTCCAAATAGCGTGGTGCTCTAGTATATTGGGATTTTATATCCCAGACCTCGTTAGTCCTAATTATTACACAGAATTTCTTCATTTCGATGGATAAAGTTAACGATGGTGGGCTTTTACCTTTCCCCAGTACAGCTCTTGGTACAAATGAAAATCCTTAAAAAAATAAAAGTGAGTAAACATGAGATGAAAAGCGTAAGCGGGCCAGATGTGTCGTCCAGACTCACGCACGACGTGGAAGGGATGCAGCAAAGGCCTGTGTGACGGGGCTGCTGCTAAACGGCCATCAGGGGTTGCACAAGGCCCGGACTCATTCGTGATCTGGAATGTTGGCCTGCTTGGCCTGCTTTGTGCGGCCCCTTGCGGTCTGCTTTTTAGCCAGGTCGGGACAGCCACTGCCCGGGTATTTTCAAACTTGAATTTTTTGCTTTATGTCCTGTGTCTTACCTACTTACCATAGTGCTCATGTAATAAAACTTGCCACAGCTGGGTGGCAGTGTAGATTGCAGAGAAACTTCAGGAAATGCTGTGCCCTCGGTTTATGTTCAAAGAGAGTCATTTGAACAAGAATTCACATTTGAAAGTCTATGTTCAGTAAGCTAGTAAGATAAGTTAGGTGAGGTAATAGTGAAATATCAGATCTATTAAACCCTCTAACTCACCTTTATAGCCAATCTAATTTAATTTGGTTTTCTGATTTTGTCTTCAGTGTTTAATTCAGTGAATGAAAATGTCCTGTTTATGAGCTTATGGAATACAGTAAAATTTTAAAAATCAGTCATTAACAATTATTTATTTAAGTATAAAATATGGTAGGTTTGCTTGCAAGTAAAAGAGAATCTAATAATTTTTAAAACTTGGCAAACGTATAAAGAGAGGACTGCTAATAAGAAAGCTTATACCGTATCTCACCTTTTTTGCCTTTTTAAGGCAATTATGCATAAACTTCTTTATTTGATAACCAAAAAATGTTGACTTGAAATGCTTTTCTTCTGCATTTTCTTTTATCAATTATAATTTTCAGAAGTCTTTAAAAAAGTTTTTCTCCAGAAAGTCCTTTTCTTCATTTTATCACTGGTTCTCAGATAGAATTGCCATGTGTTCATTTTACATTTCTCCCCCAGCTGTTTATGACCTGATCAATACATCATACTAATCTGGATTGACTCACTGATATGAAATTGCAATAAGGGCTGTATACAAGATTGTGTGCTATTTCATGATACTAGCAATCTGAAATTTCTCTTTAATCCATTGTGAAAGAGAAATTATTAAACTCTTTCTCTCAAAAATAATACAATACTGGAAACCCGTAGTTAATTTGAATAAATTATTGTTTAAGTTTAACTGTGAAAACCTCCAGGTAGAGGAGAAAGCAATTTACTCTTACCTCAGTTTGTTTAGGTATAATTTATAATGTGAAAAAGAAAATTGACAGTACATTATATCAGATTGATCTTGACTGATTAGAATATGTTAACTGTCTCTTTAATAAAATTTGCCTTCAACCTGCCTACCTCAGTAAAGTTGTAGGATAGCAAATCAGTACACAAAAATCTGTTTTGTTTCTATATACTAATAATTATCAGAAAGAGAAGTGAAAGAAAATGGTTTTATTTACAATTCCTTAAAAAAATACAATACCTAGGAATAAGTTTAGCCGAGGAAGGGGAAGAGCTGTACACTGAAAACTGTATGACATCAATGAAAGAAATTGAAGAAGACACAAATAAGTGGAAAGGTACTCTGTTCTCATGGATTTGAATTGCTATTATGCCCATATTACCCAAAACAGTGTACAGATACAGTGCAATCACTATCAAAATTACAAAGGCAATTTTTACAGAAATAGAACAGTAATCCTACAATTTGTGTGGAACCACAAAAGATTGCAACTAGACAAAGCAATCTTGAGAAAGGAAAACAAAGCTGGAGGCATACTCCCTGATTTCTAACTATATTACAAAACTGTGTCAAAACAATGTGGTATTGGCATAAAAACAGACACGGTGATCAGTGGAGCAGAATAGAGAGCCCAGAAATAAACCTACATGTAAATGGTCAATTAATTTACAACAGGGTGGGAGCCAAGAATACACAGTTGGGGGAAATGGCACTGGGAAAACTGGCTATCCATGTATAGAAGAATGAAAGTAGGCCACTATCTTACACATACACAAAAATTAACTGAAAATGGATTAAAGACTTTAAGACCTGAAACCATAAAACTGCTAGAGGAAAACTAAGTAGTAAGCTCCTTGACATCTGTCTTGGCAAAGATTTTTGGATCTTTGACCCCAAAAGCAGAGACAACAAAAGCAAAATAACTAGGTGGGACCTCGTCAGACTAAAAAGCTTCTACACAGCAAGGGAAATCAACAAAATGAAAAGAAAGCCTTTAGTAAAAGGGGAGAATATATTTGCAAAGCATATATCTGATAAAAGATTAGTATCTAAAGTATAGAAAGAACTCACACAACTCAATAGCAGCAAAACAACGTGATTATGAAATAAAAGATCTGAATACGTTTCCAGAGAAGACATACATGGCCAGCAAGTACATGAAGAGATGTTCAACGTCACTGATCATCAGGGAAATGCAAATGAAAAACCACAGATGTTACCTCGCACCTGTCAGAATGGGTATCATCAAAATGACAAGAAATAAATGTTGGTGAGGATGTGGAGAAGAAGAAACTCTCGGGCGCTGTTGGTGGGAATGTAAATTGGTGTGGCCCATGAAAAATACTGTGGAAGGTTCCTCAAAAAATAAAAAATACAGCTACCATATGATCCAGCAGTTCTGCTTCTGGCTGTTTATCCAAAGAAAACAAAACCACTGAAGAAGACATACAGACACCCATGTTCATTGCAACATTATTTACAATAGCCAAGGTACGGAGACGACCTAAGTAGCCAATGATGGATGAATGGATAAAGAAAATGTGGCGTGTACACACAATGAAATATTACCAAGCCATAAAAAAGAATGAAATCTTCCTGTTTGCACAAAATGGGTGAACTTGAGAGCATTGTGCTAATAGGTGAGATAAGTCAGAGAAAGACAAATGCTGTATCATTTCATTTATGTGTGGAACTAGAAAAGAAGAAAAGAAAAAGACCTAACCCCCAAGTTTATAGCTACAGAGAACAGATGGCTGGTTGCCAGAGGCAGGGATGGACGAAATGGGTAAAGGGGATCAAAGTGTATGAACCTACAGTTATAACATGAATAGTCTTGGGGATATTGGGTACAGCTTGGCAACTGTCATTAATGCTGCATTGCATACTTGGAAGTTGCTAAGAGAGTGGATCGTAGAAGTTCTCATCACAAGAAAACTAGACAGACATTAACTAGACTTACCGCGATCATTTCTTAATATAGATAAAGATCCTTATGTTGCACTCCTGGAAATAATAAAATATTATATGTCAGTTATACCTCAATACAAAAGAGAAATTCTCCCAATCTGCCTAACTCACTGGTAGGCACACCAGGAGCTTTGGAATCAAGCTCATTGGCTTCTGGGCTCTTCTACCTGAGGAGCTGGGAGCACGGCCATTTACTTAGGCCCCTGAGCCTCCATTCCCTCATACAGATTTGGGAACAGGGCATCAACTGATTTTTCTGTCACATCAAGGTGAATGCATTAATGAAAGGACCTGGCAGTAATTAAGCACTTTTTTAGAAAAATGAATATATTTTGATGAATATTTGTGTTTTATAATTCTAGCAGTGGAAGGAGAAAGGAGACTGTTGAGAACAGAAGGAACGAGGGGAATGTGAACAACAGTGGATGGATCGCTGTAGCCTTCCAGAGACTCTCCTAGTGCCGTGATTTACTGTATCATGGATCTAACTTTTAAAATAATCGTATGTTGAATGACTGACTCTCTCTCTCTCTCTCTCTTTAGGACACTTACGGAGAGCTACAATGGAAAAGTCCTGGATGCTTTGGAACTTTGTTGAAAGATGGCTAATAGCTTTGGCTTCGTGGTCTTGGGCTCTGTGCCGTATTTCTCTTTTACCTTTAATAGTGACTTTTCATCTGTACGGAGGTGTTATCTTACTTTTGTTAATATTCGTATCAATAGCAGGTATTCTATATAAATTCCAGGATGTATTGCTTTATTTCCCAGAACAGCCATCTTCTTCACGCCTCTATGTTCCCATGCCCACTGGTATTCCACATGAAAACATTTTCATCAGAACCAAAGATGGAGTGCGTCTGAATCTTATTTTGATAAGATACACTGGAGACAATTCGCCCTATTCCCCGACTATAATTTATTTTCATGGGAATGCAGGCAACATAGGTCACAGGCTACCGAACGCATTGCTTATGTTGGTTAACCTCAAAGTGAATCTTTTGCTTGTTGATTATCGAGGCTATGGAAAAAGCGAAGGAGAAGCGAGTGAAGAAGGACTCTACTTAGATTCTGAAGCTGTGCTAGACTACGTGATGACTAGACCTGACCTTGACAAAACGAAAATTTTTCTTTTTGGCCGTTCCTTGGGAGGAGCAGTGGCAATCCATTTGGCTTCCGAAAATTCACATAGGATTTCAGCCATCATGGTGGAGAACACGTTTTTAAGCATACCGCATATGGCCAGCACTTTATTTTCATTCTTCCCGATGCGTTACCTTCCTTTATGGTGCTACAAAAATAAATTCCTGTCCTACAGAAAAATTTCTCAGTGCAGAATGCCTTCTCTTTTCATCTCTGGACTCTCTGACCAGTTAATTCCACCAGTAATGATGAAGCAACTTTATGAACTCTCCCCGTCTCGGACTAAGAGATTAGCCATTTTTCCCGATGGGACTCACAACGATACGTGGCAGTGCCAGGGCTATTTCACCGCCCTGGAGCAGTTCATCCGAGAAGTAATAAAAAGTCATTCTCCTGAGGAAATGGCAAAAACTTCATCCAATGTAACAATTATATAATGTTTCTTCTTTTTGATTAGTGCACTGTATTTTAATTTTGCAGAATGATAAAGAATGTTCCTTTCTAGCAGTGTGTTATGTCTGTACTTGTCTGAAGAGTGACATTAAACTTTGAAAGGACTTCAGTGCTCCTTTGAGATGATCCAAATAGTTTTTTACATTTGAAGAACTGGAATTCTTGGGATTCTTTCATACCTTTTCGTCAAACCTTTCAATGTGGTTATGTGTCCATATCTTTAGTTTAATATGCCAGTATAATAGCATATTGTATTCAAAAGTTTCTTGTTGCTAAAAGGGTGTACTTCATGTGGCACTTAGATTCGTGGCCGGGTGTGGAAGGAGATCTGTCAACGAGAAACCTTTGGGTATTCTTTATTCCTTTAGCAAGTACCGGGACAATCGTGGTAAGCAAACTTAGTTCTGTAACTGCATTCTTCACCTTAAAAGTTAAAATGAAATGCATGATGGTATTTTATTCCCTGAATTATGCAATGCATTGTTTTTAATGTAAATAGTACTGGTCTTCGACCGATGTATATGGTAACCTGGGTTATATCTATTTTTATGTAAACTCTATTTTGTTTTCGGCGAGAAGTGACAGTGAGGCCTGTGTGCAGATTGTCATTGAAGTTTGCTCTGGTGAATGCTGAGATCCAGCTTTTTCTTACAAATCACTGGGACCCCGTTTTCCAATATCAACGTACCGTGTTTTGTTAGGTACGGTCTGGATCATGGCATGTAAAAATAGAAATTTAGAATTTTACTGCAGCTTTGATGTGCATATTTGAACTTTTTAACATTTGTAACTTTGGTGGCAAAGAGAATTTTAGCTTCTGTCAATTTTGTAAGTCTACAGCTGAACCCCTCACAGCAGTCATAACGACCATCAGAACTTGTTTAAGAATTAAATTAGCAAGTCCTATCATTCCATGGTTGTACATACTATTTTACAGAAATTCCCACACTTGATTTTTAAGTCCAGTGTCTAGGTATATCAGCCCACGAAAGCCAAGGTATCATTTATTGGACTTTCTGAAAATAAAAGTTACAAAATCAAAAGCAAAAAACCTGTTCTTTGGTTTAATGTTTCAGTTGTTCTTACAGAGAGCATTAAAGGACAGTTTCAGGAAGTCGCCTTTATTTTTCTCCTTCTTGTAGGAGTGTGGGAATGAAGGAACTCAAGAACTTTTTCTTACAGAACCTATTACCACATTTAACAGTTAAGTGGCTGTAAGTGAGAAGTAGTATTTAGACATAGAGAAGAGTAAGAAAAATCTTACTTTAAAAAAAAGCCCCTTAAAATCTGCAGAATATACTTTAAAAAATACAAGCTACGGGGTATAATCATGCTAAGTTGTTTCAAGCTGTCCTTAGAAATTAGACGTAATTGAGCTCTGTACCTTATGTCAGCTTTAACGTAGAATATTTTGAATGTTTTAGCTATATTTATTGGCTTTGTGCAAGCAGCTAGAGCAGAGAAATCAGGGGTCAATATTCTTGACCTTAATTTTAGACTCTTTCCATGGAGATGGGGCTAGAGATACTTTTGCCAAATAACATTCTTATTCACTTTATGTCAGTATTTAGAAAAAAATTAATCCTAGCAATTATGATTTCTAAAAGACACTTTTTCTATAAGTTAATGTTTAAGAGTCATGCTTTAAGAAAAAAAAAGTTGGTAACGCATATCATGGGAGATGTATTTTTATGTATACATCCACCACAGTGAAAGGATGCCTCTCTTCTTGTCCATCACTGCGCTGTAGTGACCCCCCACACAGTGGCGCCTTCCGAAGAAACAAGTTACTACAGCAAAAGTCCATGTACTTAGGCATGAGCTTACTTGGTGCACCTCAGCTTTACCATCTTTAAGGTTCAGAGCAGCTTTGTGTGTTTCCATGGAATCACTGAGTGTTCTCCTTGTGACCCAATTGTCACCTTCACTCGTAACTATGCTGATGAAGGGTAAGAGCTTTTTCTTCATCAGTGTTTTGTTCTTATGCTGCTTTTTTTTTTTTTAAGGTTTATTTATAAACCATTTTTTCCCCCACTAAAGCCAGGATTTCAAAAGTCGTACAGTACTCCTGTTCATCCCCACCTTCGTTCTCTTCGGATTAAGGGACATTTGTTCCTGGGGCTGTGTTTAGGGTAGTAGGACATCTTTCTCGGCTTCTGTGTCCGAGACTTCCTTAGATGGGAAGAGGGTAGAAGACAAACTCTTGTGGTCAGGGGGCCATGAAGCCCATGGCATTATTTTTTCAAAACATGTCTAGTTTTGTGGCCAAAGCAGTTGGTCTTAATAAAATGTGAATTCTTCATGAGTCACTTCTTCATTTAGACCCAGGTCTTAGTGAGAATGGAAGCATGTCTGCCTTGTGTATTAATTTCCGGCCCATTTTGCAAGAGCAGCTGTAATAAGAGTTTATGAATGAATTTTTAAGTTTTTAAGCTACTGTAAATGTGGAAGTCCCAGAATGGTTTTAAATCTGGCAAGATACAATCCATGTAGATGAAGATCCATTATTTTAAAAGGGATTATTAGGGTGTGGGGGGAATGGTACAAAGGACACTCAGAAGGATATTGCAAAATATGGGGAGAAATAATTTGTGACAGATAAAAGGTGCTCATTGAAGAGAAGTAGCCGGAAAGGGGCCCCGGGACGTGGTTCTTAAATGGAGATCCAGGAAATGATTAGTGATTTACTGATAAGATTGGGGGAAATAGCCACCTAACAGTGCAAAACACAGCATTTGAAGCAGCCATCTCTAATCAAGAAAGTGACTAGAGCACTTGACATTGCGATACCTTGGCTGTAAAATTGATATTTTTGTCAAAGTGCTGTTTTCAGTTTTGTTATAGGGCAGCTTACACTTACTTTCTCATGATGAGCCGCAGGCACTTGGTTCTTACTGAGAATTCATACCACCTGCTGCATTTATATCTGTTTCTTATTTTTGTAAGATAGATTTATTTGGTCCAGTTACAGAATGAAGGCCATGTTCGATTTTATATAAATTATCTCCCAATCTCAGTTTAAGAGACATTTTCATTATTGAGTCCCTTTCTTCCCTTAAGGTTAGGAAAAAAAAAAAAATAGGGTAAATTTTAAAACGATGTCCCACAAGTCACTTTTAAACTTGGGTCATAATTGAGATGTATTGAACTCCAGTGGCCCTCCCCTCCGTTTTTCCTATTAAGTTTGACAACAGTTTATGAGGAAAAAAAAATGTGAAAAATATTAGTTATAATGCTTTTGGATTATCCACTTAAATTATGTATTTTCATATCACTCAGGTAAAGTTGGAAATGACAGAGCACAGACATCTATTTTTTAAATCAGTAGGGTAGAAAATGAAAAGCACTTCAGTTTATTTATATTACCATATATGCAATCATCTTAGCGAGTCAGACGTAATATATTCATTTGTATAGCGAAATAAGTGCATTCATCCTAATTATAGTCAACACGGTTTTGCCAAATGGCACAAATATACCTCCATTTATATTTTGTATCTTAAAATTGTAGTTTAAAAATAGGACATGTATACGCGACACTTTTTACGAAAAGTGCCATATATACATATGTAACAGGGATGACTGTGTTAACATAATTTATAACAGTTTCTGTCAGTACAGTGAATACTGAAAATTCAAGTTGTTTTCAACACCTTCGGGTACATTCAGGATAAGAGAAAGTTAACCCAGTCTCATAATGTAAATCATATTTTTGTTATTTGCCATATTTTATTTGAAGCAGTAATACGGTTTTATAACAGATTTGAATGTTACAGTACACAGTGTACTAGCCATAGCAAGCAAACATTTACATTTGCTTTTTTTTACAGTAGATTTCTTTTAGAGTATACTTTCTATTTTTCTGTACTGACATATGCAATAAATTGATAACATTAAAAGTTTGATTAATGTCTTAAGATAGTTTGTATTTAGTCTCTCCCCCCCCCCAATTTTCTATTAACCTAAATGATATGGTAGAACATTAAGGTTTCCTTAATGGTTAAATAAATTTTCTGAATTTGTGCAGAAGTTAATGAATTTTTATTGTAATAATGCTGTGGACGGTAAGTGTAAGGTAGATTTATATTCTCTTTTTTCGTATTATTCTCACACAGACATTTAATTTAAGCTAATAGTAAATGTTTTCTGTATATGGGCTGCTGGTGAATGAATAGGCCCCAAAGCATTTGATGAGTTAAATGAATCTGGGAATGAATAAATTCTAAGTGTTCACAGTCCTGTGGCGTTCAGATCTCGTAAGTGCCTTTTCACAAAATTCTGGTCTTTTTTTTTTTTCTATCCCATTACTATTGAGTTGATGGTTTAAGATGATTAAAAATGGCCTGATACTCATTCAGTCTTTAAGAGTCTGTAGTTGTCTTTCCCTGATAAGAAACTCGCGTGCCTCTGTCGTGTCAGAACCAGTTGGATAATAGGAAATGTATGAGAAAGCTACATGGCCCTCTGCAAGTGGAGATGAAGAGTTCACTTATTCGAGACCACCCTGCATAAATAGGTGTGGGAATCCCGTGGATTCCCTGAAAGACTGCCAGCCTGAATCCCAAGAGGAAGTAGTTTTTAGATTACTAGTTCTTAGTTTCAAAAAAATTCTCACATTTCTGTTTCACTCTCCAACTCATTTTGCATTCTGACATGCTAAAAGTCATCACACTTGGGTCTGGTCAGAGAGTAGAAGTTACCTTGTTAAGGACGAGGGAGGGAAAGACATTTTTTGAATACCTACAAGTGCGATCACTTGTAGAGCATGTTGATCATCGAAGCCTCACGACCAGCCTGTGAGTAATGTGCTCAAGAGTGATTTATTCTTTAGAAGCACTTCCAACATAATTGGCTGTTGATGGAAAATTAGAAATATTATGCAGCAAACCACTTTTTTCCCAAAGTATTTAAATTTGTTTTTCTGTAGGAAAATCTAGAAGTTAGCCTTGTAATACGTCTCATTCTCTTTTTTCAGCCCTTGGTAGATAACCAAAGCTTAAAAAAATTCGGGAGTCCTCTTCCTAATGTAGTGAAATGGATACTTTGGGAACTGATCTGTTTGTTTTTCCAGTCAGATTTATTTTCCATCCTCTACCACCAGGGGCATATGACTCCCTGAAAGTATTTCACAATAGGTAGGTCTTCTGGGGAATGCTTGTGACATACCAGGTATTGTTAGGACTCCTTTTTGTTGCTTATTCTTGATCACTGAATAGTCCGCAGAACTGGTTTCCGACTCCACTGATCTCACTCCTTGATCTTTGTCCTGTTGGAACTTGCCAAGACAAAAAGACACCTTTCCCTCACAAAGGGCGCTGAGTGAAGGCCATCTCTCAGGAGATCAGAGTCGGACTTCTTGGTCTATAGGGTCCTTCACAGAGTGAACCCAGCCATGGTCTAAAAGGTGGCGACTCAGGAGTCAGACTCCTTTCTCTTTTATGTAGTAACGCATGTGCGGGGCTCTCACCGCTGGATCGAATGCCCTTTCACCTCGTTAGGCTCCCACCCCATTAACCCAAATTCCTGGTAGTTTCAGGAATAGTTTCTCCTTTGTGTAGAGCTCTTGCACTCACTGCCTTTTGTGGTTTGATACTTGGTGATACTCACTCACTTCAGTCACTTCAGTTCTTTATTACTCACTGTCTGATTTCCCTTTTGTATGTCTTGCTTCTGCAATAAACCCAGATCTGACAGGCTGCAACGTGATCTCTTTGTGTCTGACCTACCACCTAGCACCGTGCTGAGCACCTTCTGCTGCCCCATAGGCATTCCGTGTGGAATGTGTTCACCAGAGTTAGTCCACACTTTTCCTTCTTCAAGATCGGAGATGCACAAATATTTTGTATTTCTTTAAGGTTTAGACAAAACCTGTAAGGGAGAGTCAACACACCCACACACACAACTAGCCGGTGATTGAAGTAGAAACATTAGAAGTTGCCTGGGTAATTAAATCATCCTTCAGGGGAGGAGGGGAAGCAATAATTATGCAGGATGTATGCCACTTGCAGGCTCTAACTTGAGCTGAGCAGAGGAGGGAGACAGAGGTGAAACTACACCTAAAAAGAGACCAGGAGCAGGGAGGGTGGGTATGGAACAGAGAAGAGATGTGCTCACTAAGCCCGGCAGTAACTAGTAAGAGTGGTATTGGGTAAGACAAGACAGACCACAAAATGAGCAAGCATGTTGGCAGAAAGCCGAAGAACCCCTTGTCCTGGGATTTCCATTCTGCCTGATAGTGATTATGTCCCAGTTTGGTTATCTTCCATTATGTATTTTTAATCATGTACCTCTAATTCCCTGTAAAAATGTCTTCTCATGATCCCTTTTGTTACCATTTAAACCAATTAAGATCTGCACCTAATGTGACATATTGGTATTTGTGTGGCCTTTATTCCCAGGATATTTCCTTGGGGCGTAAGTGAGTTCAAGTCTCCTCTGTACACACGATGCAAGCCTCTAAACCCAGGACAGGCTGGTTTGGGTAGAGGGAAGCTCAAAATCTCTGGAGACCGTTGGTAAACAATTGTAATTCTCACTCAAAAGCAGACAGCTGATGGAGATGACAGCTGATTTTATCGTGCTCCAGTCCCTCCCAGTCCATTTCTGTATTCACCATTGTTAGGGCATCCTACATTTTAGTCACTACCGCTATGAATGGCAGACACACACACATCAAGTACACAGCGTCATCCAGTAAACTTTGGGAAGCTGGGCACAGTTTTCCCATAGCCCTGGACACTAGGCTGGGATTCAGGAAATTCTGGGTGAATGAAAAATATCCCTTGGAGATAGCAAGTACTCCACTTATAGATGGGAAATATATGTAAATACCTTTGCACTCCACAGACATCTGCAAGAGCAGAAAACCCTAGAACCATTAGTAACCTTTGTATCCCTGGGTCCTCAAAAGGCCGCAGTATTCACTGCAAAGTTAATGTATATTGAAGTTAGGATCATTATAAAGGTCATAGGGTCAGTGTAAGTGATGTTTTTCTCCTCGAAACACAGAAAGGTTAGTTTACGTGACATACTGTTTCACTAGAATACCAGGTAGTCGGGGTAGGTGGCTAATAATGTTTTATACTTTCTTCCCATTAAAAAATATAGGAGCTTTTCTTGAGGAGCAATTTAAGCATTTTCATATACTCTTGACAAATTGTAGATTCTAGACCATTTTCCACTAGGTCTTAATAGCACTGCCCCATGAAGACTGTTTTTTCTCAGGTTGACCTCATATCTGGTATATGTATATTACATACCTTAATTATTTGTCTTCCATTTTTAAGGGGGAGCTAATTCAAAATATAAACCATTTGTGTTCTAATAGCATCATTTGTTTCCCTCATAATAATTGTTGCCTAGAGCCTAAAATTTAAGAAAATATATATTAATGGGGAGTAATTCACTGCCCTTTAATTCTTATTTACTGTTAGTAGAACTGGAAGAGAAGAAGGGCTGAAGGTAAATCTACCTGAGGAATAGGTCATTTTAAAAGCAAGGTGTGTTCTCTCCTCCTGAGCTTTGGGATAATGCAAAGGAGTAATGATCCTGGCATTGGAGAACAGTACAGACCTAGGTTATAATGGGGCACAGAAAATAGCCCTCTTTTTTACTTCCCTCAAAATTAAAAAGCCCTGTGATGTCTTGTTGAATTCTCCCTTCCTACTTAAACTTCTCACTTCTTCCTCTGGGGACAGTGGTCTGTCAGTTCTCCCCCCACCCTCCACTTCTTGATTCTCTGCCCACTATTTCATTATGTCATTCTTGTTTTTGACAATCACCAGCTTACAAGAAAAGAAGTTTTAAGGGAGCATTTGAAAGTAAATTCCCAAGGGAATGCCCCATTGTCTCTGAATACTTCAGCCTGTTTTTAGTAAACACCCTCCTGCATGCATACTCAATGCAAACGTTAAAGCCAAGAGGCTGACACAAGTCCGTTACTGTACCTAATTCTCAGATCTCATTCATTTTTGGCCAGTTATCCCAATATCATTTATGAGGAAAAGGATGTCCTTATGAGTGTAGATGCAGAACCCCTCAACAAAGTACCGTCAAACTGAATCCAGCAAAACATAAAAGGATCGTGGACCATGACCAAGACCATGTGATCCCTACCACAGGAAAGTAAGGTTGGTTTAAAACCTGAGTTAATGCTATACATTAGCTTGGGCTGCCTTCACAGAACACCACAGACTTGCGATTTAAACAACAGACATTTACTTTCTCATGGTTCTGGAACGTAGAGGTTCATGATCAAGGAGCCAGCAAATTTGGTTTCTGGTAAATGCTTTTACTGGCTTGTAGATGTGTCCTCCATGGCCTTTCATCTGTGAATTGATGGAAAGAGATCTCTTCCTCTTCTTGTGAGGACCCCAGCTGTCAAGTTAGGGTACCACCGTTATGACCATATTTAACTTTATCCCTTTAAAGGCCAGTATCTCCTAATGCAGTCACACTGAGGGTTAGGGCTTCAACACAGGAATTTCTGGAGGACACAGTTCAGTCCCTAATACCATATGAACAGAAAAAAAGCACTTGAGAATATCCATCACACTTCCCTCATGAAAAAAAACTAAGAATTGAAGGAAAATTAAGCTCCTCATGAATATTTATAAAATGCAGCTAACATTGTACTTCAAGGTAAAAGACGGAAAGCTGCTTCCTTAAGATCAGGCGCAAGACAAGGAGAGGCACTCTTGCCGTGTCCAGTCAACATCACGCCGGACGTTCTGTGCAGAGCAGTTAGGCAAGAAAATGCGTATCCAGATCAGAAAGGAAAACGCAAAACTGTACTTCTAGGTGAAATTATTTGTAAATAGAAAAATCCTAAGGAAGCCACTAAAATCAGAAGTAATAAATGAGTTCATTCAGGGTTCTGGATTCAAGATCAAGGTACACAAAATTTTATATCTATGCACTATTAGTATACAGTCTAAACATGACAGTGTTGTGGATTGGATTGTGTACCCCCCCAAAAAAATTGATTTTTGAGAAAAAGGTCAAGGCAGTTCATTATTGAAAGGACAGTCTTTTCAACAGATGGTGATGTGTTGACCGGATCTTCACATGCAAATGAATAATGTGGATTCCTACATCACACCGTATAAAAAGTAACTCCAAATGGAACAAAGACCTAGAAAATGTAGCCACAATCTTTGTGACCTTGGTTGGATTAAGCAGTGGTTTCTTAGGTATGACACCAAAGAACAAGAGCAAAAGAGAAAAACATAGACAAATCGAGCTTGCTAAATTTTTTTTTTTGAATGTGCCTCAAAGAACATTATCAAGAAAGTGAAAAAAATAAACTACACAATGAGAGAAAATATGCAGGCGTCACATATCTGATAAGGGAC